TCCCAGCCCACCGCGTGGACTGCTCCCGGCCGCCCCCAGCCCCACCCCTGCTCCCCTGCCTCCTCCCACCCCGGGGGCGGACTCACCAGACAGTGACACAGGCGGCAGGGGTCAGAGGGGTGGGGGAAGTCTGCTCCGTGGGGGTACTCTTTCCCGCTGAAGGCACAGCCTGGGGGAGGGGGCAGCTATAGGCCTGGGAGAGGCCCTACTTGCCCCAGGTCATGCCCTCCCAGCCCTAAATGCCCACAGGAGGGGCCAACCATCCCAGGAGACCCCCTTCCTGTCCGCCTCACCATGGCAGTCATTGCGGCAGCAGGGACCAGGCAGCGGGTGGGCGCAGGGGGGCTTGGGGCAGGCCCGAGGCTGGCAGCGGGCGTGGCCCTCCTGACACCAGCACTCCTGGCAGGGGTCTCGGGGGTGGGAGAAGCTCTCGCCGTGCGCAAACACTTGTTCCTCCAGGATACAGTCTGGGCAGGGGGTGGGGAGGAATGGGGACGAAGACTGAAGGTGCCAGGAGCCGGCAGACAGCTCCTCTCCCCGCGGAGCCCGGAGCTATGGTGGAAGCTGTCCCCACAGAGGGAGAGAAGGGGGCTGTGATGCAGGCATGGGTGTCTCTCTGAGCGCACACGTGTGTGTATGTGTGAGCGTGTGCACACACACGTGTGCACAGTCCTTTCACCTGCAGGCACATGTGTGTGCCTTGAGGGTGAAAAGCTGAAGGGCTCCTGAGTGCCACACGCCCTAGCACACTCTCCAGGGGGCGGGGGTGGGGCACACTGCATTCCAGCACCCCGTCTCCCTCAGGGCACATCCAAACGTGTGTGGCATGAACGTGGTGTGTTACACGGGCAGACAGACAAAGATATCCGAGTGGTGCGGTGCGGGAAGAGGAGACTTGATGGGGAAGAAGGGTGACATGGGGACATGAAGGAGAAACAAGTCCCTCCCACCCACGCCCTGTGCCTTCCAAGCTTCGCCAGACTGAGCCTTGGGAAGGCCGTGGCTTTCTAAGGGGACTGCTGTGCCCAGGGGGTGGCAGGAGGGCCAGGCCTAGGTCCCCCGAGCCAGACAGGTCCCGTGAGCACGTACCTGGGCACCTGGGGCAGCACTGGCCTGGTCCACTCTGGGGCCTGGCGCACGTTGTGGGTGGACAGTCAGCCAAGGAGCACCTCACGGTCCCGTCCTGGGAGTGGGGGAGAGGGCAGTGGGGGTCAGCCCTGGGAGGGGCTCAGAGGGCAGCAGCCAGCCTGGGGGGTACCTCGCATCGGCAGGCGTGGCAAGGGCTGTCCGTGTCCGTGAAGTTCTGCCCGTTGGCATACACGTGGCCGTGGTAGGTGCAGCTCTCACAGCTGGGGCAGCAGGCGCCTGGGCGGGCAGATCGGTCAGAGCCCAGCTGATCAGGGCGGGCGGGGCACAGCCAGGGGTGGAAGGCAGACCAGGGCGGGGCACTCACCAGGTGTCTGGGTGGGGTGCTGGCAGGGGGCTGGGGAGCAGAGCACAGCCCCACACACGGGCACCCCATCTTGGCAGGAGCAGGCTGTGCAGGGCTGACCATCAGGCTCCCACTGGACGCCCTCAGCAAACTCCTCTCCACCAAGCACACAGGCTACAGCAAGGGGGCCGTCACCATGGCAACCTAGACACCTCCACCCGCCCTCCCCTTCCCTGGACCCCAGCTTTACCACCCGCACAGCAGCCTCTGAATATACGCTGGGAGGGTTGGTGGCCTTAGCAAGGCCCCCCTTACTTGAAGGAACACCCCTCCACCTCCAGCCACTGGAAGCAGCGCCCCTTTGCAGCTGTTTCTCCCCTCCCCTCCTCCCCCACACACCTGAGCACAGCTGGGGACCAGAGTCTGGCAGGGTGCAGGGGGCGACCGGGCACTCCTGCTCCTCACAAGAGACCTCGCCGGCCTAGGAGGGAGGGACACTGGGTGAGAGGCCCTCAGGAAGGCCGATCTGGGGCGTGAGACCGGGGCTGCCTACCTGGCAGGAGCAGCGCAGGCAGCGGCCACCCTCTTGGAGTCGGAAGGTCTCCTGGCTCTGATAGTGGTGTCCCTGGTACTCACAGCCTGGACAGGAGGGTGGGGGACAGGCCTGGAGGCTGCCGGGGACGCCTCACTCCCCCTGACATCTACCTCCCACCCTGATGAGGACAGCCACCTTCAGGGGTCCCTGCCAGCCCCCACCCCCAGGAGCCAGGGCCCCACCACTGTGCCCGTGTGCCATGAGAAGGGGAGAACTAGTCCCTCCTGGTGGGGACAGGAGCCTAGTTTCATAAAGGATTTCCTCTGGACTTTAACTCAGGGGGGCCTCCTGTAGGCCCAAGGCAGCAATGGCACCCAGAGGCCAGGGACTCTCTGGCCAGGGCCTGCCCCTCACCCAGGGCCTGCAGCCTCCCACTCACCGGCACAGACGGGGCAGCACTGCCCGGGGAGCCTGCCTGGGTGTCTGCAGGGCGCAGTCGGGCAGGGCAGAGGCTCGCACTGGACGCTCCCGTTCTGACAACAGGGCCTGGTCAGCATTGGAGAGGCAGGCCCGGGGGCCAGGCCCTCCCTGCCGGGCGGCCACACTCACAGCACAGCGGCAGTGCGAGCAGGGGTCCCCGGAGCCCACCGGCTCCCCGCTGCGGTACTCCCGCCCGTTTAGGAAACAGCCTGTTGGGGAGAGGGTGCCTTAGACCCTCCTCAGGGGTCCCCCACTGCCCCAAGTCCTGGGCCGTCAATCAGCTTTGGAGCCCCTCCAGGCTCCGCCCACGGACTCACCATCGCACACGGGGCAGCAGGTGCCTGGGAGGGGCCGGGCAGGGTATGGGCACAGGCTGGAGCATTCTCGCTGGCGGCACTGGATTTGGCCCTCCTGGTAGGGGCAGGGGGTGAGGCAGAAACAGCATTTGCGTCCCAGCTATCCACTTATTAGATGTTGTTATGAGTGGAATTGTGTCCCCCACAGACACAAATTCATCTGTTGAAGTCCTACCCTCCATCGCCCTGCACCTCAGAATGTGACTTATTTGGAAATAGGGCTGTTGTAGAGGTAGAGTTAAGGTGAGGTCATACCAGAGTGGGGTGGCCTCTAATCCAATGCCTGGTGTCCTTGTAAAAAGGGGAAATTTGGACACAGACCCCCCCACACACATAAACACACACACACACACACACACACAATACACACACATACACACAATACACACAATACACACACATACACACACATAAACACATATACACACACAATACACACACATACACACAATATACACACATACACACAATACACACACATAAACACACACACATACACACATACACACATACACACACAATACACACACACACACATAAACACACACAAACACACACATATACACACAATACACACACACAATGTACACACACACACACACACACACACACACACACGGGAAGCAGCACGTGCAGATGAAGGCAGAAGCCTAGGAACACCCCAGCTTGAACCACCGGAAGCCAGGAGAGAGGCCGGAGCAGATTCTGCCTCACAGCCCTCAGAGGGACCAACCCTGACCGCACCTTGATCTCAAACTTCTGGCCTCCAGAACCACGAGACGACACGTTTCTGTTGGTTAAGCCACTCCATTTGTGGTACTGTGTCATGGCAGCCCTAGGAAACTCATGTAGATGTATAACCTATCTTGCTACGTAAGTCCTCTGTGACTCCGTTTATTCATTGGGAAAAAAAGACACACTCTGGCCGGTGCTCAATGGTTAGAGCATCGGCCCTCAGACTGAAGGGCCCCGGGTTCAACTCCTGGTCAAGGGCATGGACCTTGGTTGCAGATTGATACCCAGGGCACGTGTGGGAGGCGACCGATCAATGTCTCTCTCTCACATTGATGTTTCTCTCTCTCTCCCCCATTCCCTCCACTCTTTCTAAAAAAATAATCAATTGAAAAAATATCCTTGGGTGAGAATATAAAATAAAAAAAGAGACAATAATGTTCCTCTCCTCATAGCCCCGTTATGGGCGTGAGGTGAGGTGTCTGGTGTGGTGTCAACCTCTGCAAGCTGGCAGCTACCCAACAGCAGCCGCTGCTACTCCCCCTGGCCTTTGCCACCTAGACCAGCCCTGGAGCTCATGCCCATACCTGGACGCACTGCCTCTAGCACCATTAGTGCCTGGGCAGCCAGGGACTCCTCTCACAGGTGTGTGAGGGGCCAGTGTGAACAGGGTTGTAGAGGGCCCATGGCCTTCACAACGGGCTCCTTAGTCCTTGGCAGGCTGTGCTCTGTGGCTGGCTTCAGGCCCATGAAACAGCCTTCCTCCGCATGCCCCTGCCTGAACCGTAGGTCTCCGTCCCCACCTTCCTCCCCCAGGTTCTGCCCGGGTGTCCCTACACCTGGTGTCTCGTCCGCTTGGGCTGCTGGATGTCCAAGATCAAGGTACCAGCAGTTGGCGAGAACCTGCTTTCTGGCTCATAGACGGCTGTTTTCTTGTCCTCACATGCAGTATGTGTGTGTGTGGGGGGGCGGTGCTGAAGCCCTAAGGGCGTGATCCCATTCCAGGGGTCCTCAAACTATGGCCCGTGGGCCACATGCAAATACAAATATTGTATTTGTTCCCGTTTTGTTTTTTGACTTCAAAATAAGATATGTGCAGTGTGCATAGGAATTTGTTCATAGTTTTTTTTTAAACTATAGTCCGGCCCTCCAACGGTCTGAGGGACAGTGAACTGGCCCCCTGTTTAAAAAGTTTGAGGACCCCTGCTCTAACCCCTGAGCACACCGGCCAGGGCGGTAGCTCTAGTCTTAATTTTTGAGGAAACTCCACACAGATTCCCATTCCCTCAGCTCCTAAGCGCCTCCCAGAGGCCCCACCTCCTAATACCATCACCTTGGAGGTTAAGATTTCAGCACATAAAGGGGGGGTGGGTCTCAAACATTCAGCCCATAAGTCCAGGAGTGTCTGTCCCCATTTCCCCCCCGCTTAAATCCTACTCACCCTCTAAGATCCAGGTAAACACCACCCCTCCATGAAGACTTTCTAGAGCTGTGCTGCCCCACAGAAATACAACACAAGCCACGTAGGTCACTGTAAACTCTCTAGTAGTCACATCCCAAAAAAACAGAAACAGGTGAAACTAGATGTTAATGTTCCACTCAACCCAATATATCCAAGATGTTATTTCAGCATGTGATCGGCACAACGTATACTGAGATAGCGCACACTCCTTTCTCTCGCACTCCATCTTTAAACTGGTGTGTATTTTATTCTGAAAACCCGTCTCAGATCGGATGGCCACATCTCAAGGGCTCAGTGGCCACATGCTGTTGTGGCAACTGATCAGACCTCGAAGTTGAGCCAGACCTCAAACCCGTCTGCGTCTCGCCCTCCCTGGCCTGTACCACCGGCCACATCCTGCCCGGCCTCACTCCTCTCGCTGCAAGCTCCTTGACTTCAGTTCACCAACCCATGCTGCACTCCTGCGCTGCTCAGAGCTGGGCATGCAGACGGGCACGACCCCGCCCCAGATCAGGCCCTCTCCACCCCTGACCCCTCACGGTGACTTTGGGATGTGCTCAGTGGAATCTCAAGGGCTCAGTGGCCACATGCTCTTGTGGCAACTGATCAGACCTCGAAGTTGAGCCAGACCTCAAACCCGTCTGCGTCTCGCCCTCCCTGGCCTGTACCACCGGCCACATCCTGCCCCGCCTCACTCCTCTAGCTGCAAGCTCCTTGACTTCAGTTCACCAACCCATGCTGCACTCCTGCGCTGCTCAGAGCTGGGCATGCAGACGGGCACGACCCCGCCCCAGATCAGGCCCTCTCCACCCCTGACCCCTCACAGGGCCTTTGGGATGTGCTCAGTGGAATGAAGGCCTGAATGTGGTGGGCCTGGGGGAGCGGAGGGGAGGGGGAAGCCCAGGAGCAGGTCGGGGCTCACCAGGCACTGGCAGAGCCGGCAGGGGTCCCCAGGTGCAGTCCATTCTTGGCCGTGCTCCCGGCGAGAGCCACCTTCTGTGCAGCCTGGGGCTGGGGGGAGATGGGCAGAGAGGAGGCCCGATGGGAGCCAGCCTGGACCCCAGTTTCAGTCTGCCACCCCTCTCCTCTGAGCCCAGACAAGACCAGGTCATGCCTCTGCCTAGACCTCTCTTGGCTGCCAGCGTCCCAAGCTGGGCAAGGCCACACTCCTAGCCCGCCTTCCACGGTTTCCAGGACCCGGCGTTCCACGCCCACCTCCCCCGCCTCCCCGTGTGAGATTTGTCTGCTTGCACCTTCCCACCTACCATCCACCAACTCCCTCTTGAGTGTGGGTCCCAAGCCTCTGCTCTAGCGGCCCCCTCTTCCTGGGATGGCCTCGGCTTACTCCACCCTCCACCTGGCCAACTGCTCTTTATCCTCAAGGCTCACTCAGGACGCTTGCCCTCCTGTGCCCACCTGGGCTAGGTCTCCTCCCCCTGAGATTCCATGGAACCTGGTGCCTGCTCCCACTCCTGCTTTGGGGACAGTCTTGGTGTGTGACGCAGTGTCACCCTCTAGTGGTCTGCCCAGGGCCCACCGGGTCTTAGGTGCACACAGTAGGTACTAGTCAGCATTATGAAGGTAGCATATCATTACCCACACCTCACAGACGGGGAACTGCACAGAGCAACTCCCTCAGAGGCACCACCACAACGCAGCACGGACAGGATCTGAGCTCAGGACCCGCCCCAGAGCGGGTGTGGCCAGGCGTCACTCTCCCGCTGCCTGGACCCCCAGGTCCGAGCCAGCAGGGTGGGCTCTGAGTGAGGAAATGACGGGACAGCCCTGCCTGGAGCCGCCTAGGGAAGAGCCAGGGCTCACCTGGGCAGGCCGGGCAGCAGTGGCCAGGCCTCAGGACTGGCTCAGGGCAGGGGCTGGCCGGGCACTTCATGGGCACACAGCGAACCAGGCATAAGATATGTGCAGTGTGCATAGGAATTTGTTCATAGTTTTTTTTTAAACTATAGTCCGGCCCTCCAACGGTCTGAGGGACAGTGAACTGGCCCCCTGTTTAAAAAGTTTAAGGATCCCTGAGGTAGCATATCATTACCCACACCTCACACATGGGGAACTGAGGCACAGAGCAACTCACTCAGAGGCACCACCACAACGCAGCACGGACAGAATCTGAGCTCAGGACCCGCCCCAGAGCGGGCGTGGCCAGGCGTCACTCTCCCACTGCCCGGACCCCCAGGTCCGAGCCAGCAGGGTGGGCTCTGAGTGAGGAAATGACGGGACAGCCCTGCCTAGAGCCAGCTAGGGAAGAGCCAGGGCTCACCTGGGCAGGCCGGGCAGCAGTGGCCAGGCCTCAGGACTGGCTCAGGGCAGGGGCTGGCCGGGCACTTCATGGGCACACAGCGAACCAGGCTCCTCTGTAACGTACCAACAGCTGTAAAGCCTCTGGGTCTGGCTCCCAGAGAGAGCACGGCAGGCAGGTGTGGGCACCCTTGGGAGGTGGGCACAGGTCAGGCAGAGAGTGAAGGGCCCGGAACACATGTGAGGCTGAGAGCAGGGCACCTCCCAGGAGGAGCAGGGCTGGGGCAGAGGGTGCAGGGACTCACCAGGCAGGAGCACTGGAGACAAGGGTTGGAGCTGGACGGGAAGCTGGCCCCCACCTCGTAAAGCTGCCCCTCGTACTCACAGCCTGGGGAGGGTGCCAGGATGACAGGCTGGTCAGGTGAGATCGGGGTGGGCGGGCATCACCCCCGGGAAGGCATGACCCCAAAGAGGAGCCGGACCCTCGGGGCTGACGGGGTGGAGGGAAGGCAGGGTGAGGAGGTCACCTGGCCGGCAGACGGGGCAGCACTCCCCGGGTGGCGTGTAGCTCTCCAGGCAGCTGAGCTCTGGGCACGAGGGCCCCTGGCACCGCACAGTCCCTGCCTGCGGGGCAGACACTGAGCCCTCCCTCCCTCCCTCTCCACTGCAGGCTACTGGGAGCTACTCCGCTGGCCTGCAGGCCTAGCGGGCTCTGGGCCTCGATGCCTGGGTGGCAGCAGCAGCCCTGGCAGGCCCCAGGTTGGGGTGGCGCTGCCAGGCCTGGGGGTTACCAGCAGAGCAGCAGGGACCTGGGTGGTGGGTGGTGGGTGGGGCCAGGCTCTGATCCCTTACCTGGCAGGTGCAGGTGACACAGGGCTCGGGTTGCCACGTCTCCCCAGCCCCGGGACCTTCAGGGCAGCCTACAACACCAAGGCCAGGCCCCCAGTAAGAGACCCTGAGGCTGTGGCCAGAGCACCCGGGAGGGCCCCACGACAAGGGAGCACCTTCGGGTGGTCGATGGCAGAGATCTTGGTATTTACTTCCACTTTCCAGGAAATGGCAGTAAAGCGTCTGACTCTAACATAATCAGTAGATTTCCATTATTTACGGCTGATGGAAGTGTTGAGGAAGGGGTGCCTTTAAAAAACGTTTTTTTAACATTTCTTTTTATTTTTAGAGAGAGAGAAGAAGGGAGGGAGAGAGAGAGAGAACATCGATTGGTTGCCTCCTGTATGCACCACAACTGGGAATCAGACCCAAAATCTGGGCACGTGCCCTGACCGGGAATCGAACTGGCGACCTTTTGGTGCATGGGACCCCGCTCAACCAACTGAGCCACACCGGCCAGGGCAGGGTGCCTTTTTAAAAATATATATATTTTTATTGATTTCAGAGAGGAAGGGAGAGGGAGAGAGAGAAACATCAATGATGAGAGAGAATCATTGATTGGCTACCTCCTGCACGCCCCCTGCTGGGGATTGAGCCCACAACCTGGGCATGTGCCCTTTACTGGAATCGAACCTGGGACCCTTCAGTCAGCAGGCTGATGCTCTATCCATTGAGCAACACTGGCCAGGGCAGGGTGCCTTTAAAAAAAAAAATCCACCCCTCACAGGGTGATCTGATCATGAATTCCTAACTGGGCCAATCGTGATGGGTAGTAATGCCCAGGCATATAACTTCTTAGTAAAAAACTTACATATTTTTTCTTTTTTTGGTGGTGGTGGTGGTGGGGGGGGATCTTTGCTTTTATTGTGCCACTAGGTTAACACACTTTTGAAATAAGCCAAAACCACCCTCAAGAAAGCACATAATCTTAACTATCTTGGAATCCAATTCCTGCCTTGGTTTCTCCAACCTTCCTTATCTCCCCTCCTTAATTTCAAATGCATTGAAGAAGCTGCAAATCTGTTATGCGCCAGAACATTTGAGAGCTTGCTCCTCGGCTTATGTCATCAGTTTGGCTCAAACACACTCTTATAAAAATTATTTATGTGTCTGGATGTTTCTTGTGTTGACAAGATAAACAACTCGTACTTGTTTAGTGTATGTTCCACGTCGCATACTTACACTAATAAAGTATGGCTTGCTTATCTGAAATTCAAATCTAACAGGGCATCCTGTGTTTTTATTTGCTAAATCCGACAACCCAGTCTCCCTGATCATGAGCTGGCAACAAGCCCCAGCAGCATGGCTTCCGCTTCCTCCCAGCTCTCTTCATCTCGCCGGCACCACTGCCCTCCTACTCCACTATTTCCTCCTTTCCCACTCGTCCGTGGGATCCAACCCGTCACCAGCTCCTGCCCGTTCTTTAGAAATACCCCTCCTTCTGCCCCACAGCCATCCCTGACTCTGCTTTAATAGTCCCCTAATTGGTCACTCTGCATCTAGCATAATGCCAGATGACTACTCCTAAAACACCTCTTTGAACATGCCACACTCTGGCTCTTCAACTCTCCGTGGCTCCCTATTGCCCACAGAAGGAAGTTCAAACTGCATGGCTTACAGCAGCCTGTTCCCACTGGCCTTTCCAAACTGATTTCCTGCAACCTTCCCCCCCCTCCCCCCCCCGCCCCGATCTTGTGTCCAGAGGACCCTGCAGCGCTGTCTGTTTTTGGTGACATCCCACTTTCGCTTGAAGATCTAGCTCAGACAACCCATTGGCACCTGGTCTGGGTAGGAGTCCCCTGCCAATTACTGCCTTTCTACACCTCCTTTTAATCTGTTCATTGGATTTTTTTTTTACTTTATTGATCTTAGAGAGAGAGGGAGGGAGAGAGAGAGAGAGAGGGAGAGAGAGAAACATTGATTTGTTGTTCCACTTATGTATGCATTCATTTGTTGATTCTTGTTATGTGCCCTGACTGGGGATCAAACCCACAACCTTGGCATATGGGGACAGCACTCTAACCCAGCGGTTTCCAGCCAGTGGTCCTCGGACCACTGGTGGTCCGTGAGGTCCGAAAGGTTGGCGACCGCTGGACTGGGGGGGAGCTGGGGGGCAGGTGGAGGGACCTAGCGGCCCAGAGCCGACCTGCAGGAGGGGCTGCCTAGAGCAGCGGCTGCCAACCGGTGGTCCGTGAGGTCCGAAAGGTTGGCGACTGCTACTCTAACCAACTGAGCTACCAGCCAGGGCGTGTTCATTGGATCTTGGATCTTCTCAGTAAGACCAGAAGCTCCCAGAGGGCAGTTGTAGCCCCAGGCCATAGTATATTGCTGACTGTGCTTCAGTTCTGGACCCCTCTAGCCACTGCCAGAACGAGTGGGCAGGCACCCTCCGGGCATGTAGCAGGTGGCAGGTGGCAGACCATGGCCCCGGGGCCCCAGAAGAAGGATGGGAAGTGGGGCTGGGGCTGGCAGGAGGCTGACCTGGCTCACAGTGTGGGCAGCATGCTCCTGGCTCCGGACAGGGTCCTCTTGGGCATGGCTTCTGGGTACAGGCTATTTCTCCTTCCTGTGGGGAGGCAGACTGGTGGGGCACCGGCATCACAAGCCTGGAGGGTGGGGCCTCCAGAACCGAACCCCCCCGCCAGGCTGGGGCCTGCCAGGGGAGCAAGAGGCTGAGTCTGCTCAAGGGTCATGGGCGACTCCTGGTCCAAGGGCAGAAAAGACATCCGACCCCCAACCCCATCACTTCCCTGATCCCAGAAATCATCTCTCCCAGGTGCCACCAAATTCCCAGAGTGGAGAGATCCTAGGAAGGGGGCCAAGGCCTTCCTCAACGAAAGAGTGAGGAACAACAGGCCGGAAGAAGGTGGCTCTGGAGGCAGGTGAGGGAGAACAGGTGGGTAGATGACAGGGGCAGATGGACGAGCCGGGACAGTGAGAGTCCACAGGAGAGGGGCGATGCAGGAAGCCAGGCAACAGCATTCTCTTTGCCCTCCATGCCCCTGTTTGCCACAGGGACCGGGGCGCCCCCTCCATGTGCATGGGGGTTGAGCCCCAGAAAGCAAAACTACTCAGAATCAGCTGAAGGCCACCAGTGCCAGGCTTGGGGGTAGGGACAGGTAGCTAAAGGGAGGCAGCCAGGTAAAGGGGACAGGTATGGGACATTCAGGTGGGTCATGGAACTCACCAGGCAGCGGCAGGTGGTGCAGGCGTCGGGGGAGAAGGCCTCCCCATTGCCATAGGCCTGACCATTGTGGCTGCAGCCTGGGAAGGAGATAGTGCTGTCACTCAGGCCCCCAGGCCCATCTCCAGGCCCCGCGGCGGCGCAGCAGGCAGGTGGAATGGCACTCACCGCGGCACTGGGGCAGGCCAGGC